ACACAAAAGGTGCTTCTGTACACAGAATATAAAATTTTTGGTGACAAAGTGAATTAAATATTTTACAAAAATCCGTTTGTCTACAAAATAGCACTTTGTGGCTACAGATTAATTTTGCCTAAGAAAAAGCTATTTTGTCAACAAATAGCATTTTGATGACAAAATTGATTCTGTCTTACAAAAATACCATTTTGTCGACAAAATAGCATTTTTGGTGACAAAATAAATTTTGTCTTACAGTACAAAATCATCATTTTATAGTAATTTACTATTCAGAATACATTTTGTCGACCGATATAATAATAATGTAAATAATAATAATAATAATAATAATAATAATAATAATACATTCGAATCAAATTGTGACATACTATAGAACAGAGCTGCCCGACTTATCTTGAAAGCTGACATTAGAAATAATATTATTAATTTGCTTCAATGCCTGGGTGGTCCATTCTTTCTGAAAGGAGAGATAAGCATATACTAAATTTGGTCACTAAATGCTTGAATGCCGGAGTTCCCATCTATTTAATTGATGTGTTCATCCCCTTGGACAGAGTTCACAATCACAACACCAGATCCAGCCTGGCGGGGTGTTTTGCCCTTCCTCCGACCAGAACTGAAGCTGGCAGAAAACGCTTTGTTTTCCGAGGTAGTGTTTAGCTGGGACTCTGTTTTTATTAAATGTTTTTGAATGGATTTATTCTTTTTTATATATATTTTTATATTTTTTTTATATTTTTATAGGCTAATTAAAATTTTTTGACAGTTGGTAGTTAAGAGTTTTACTGTTGATCCTGGACCCTGTGGGCGAGCAGTGATCAACACTGAACAGACCACCCAGGTTAAAGAAGAAATAAATAAATAAATAAAAGGTCAATTCTTACATGTTCAGAAAAAAACTCTGTTTTACTTTTTTGGGTATGATGCGTGCGAAGTAAAATATTATATACTGTATCAAGTAGCCTATGTCCGTCCACCCCTTTATTAAAACCTGGGTCTTCTCCTGCTAATCCTTCAATTATGAGTAAATCACAAGAACAATATATAATAATAAAATGGCGTTTTTAAAATGCTTCTTCCATGTTGAAAAACTAGCTGCTGGACTGTTATCCATTTGAATGAAGAAAGGCGACCGACTGGCATTGTGGGGCAACATCCATATGGAAACCCTACTGTTTGTTGCTGCAGCAAGATCCATCGGCGTTATTACAGTATTTATGCAACGACATGTCTAGGGGATAGGCCTATAATTTATACAAAATTAAAATAGATAATATGCTTTGTTTGTTTTATTGACATTATTGTTTACAGGTTTTTACATTTTGCCGGCTTTCCCAAATACCAGCGTGAAAGATATTTTGCTTCAAGTGAGTATATTTTATTTCCATTTCCTTCATATCGGTAGACAGACTATGAATAATGTATGATCAGCATTTAATCAGAAAATAGTCCTTTTCCATATGAGGGAGTTTTCGGTTTGCGTGACAACGTTATCCTCTGTGACTGTCCTCCTACGTGTTCCCTGCACTTGTACTGGGCGCTGATTGGGGAATTTGCTATTTTGTCGACAAAATTTATTCTGTTGATGATTTTGTTATATAGAATTTATTTTGTCTCTGCAAAATACTATTTTGTAAGACAGAATTTATTTTGTCACCACAAAATTTTATTCTGTATACAAAATGACTGTGTAGAAGACAGAATTCATTTTGTCGACAGAAGCACCTTTTGTGTGAGACAGAACGCCTCTTAGTTTTAATGACGCGCTGATAAAGCTTTGTGCTGCAATCCACCTTTTGAACTTTGTTACTTAATGGTGGTGACGCCATCTGTATGTCAAATAGCAAGGCTGTACAGTAAAGTTCTGTAAATCAAGGTCAGACTTCAATTGCAAAGTAATTTATTTGAGAGTATAATTTATAAAAAAAAATGAAAAAGTTAGTGTGTACTACATTTTTGACTTATGTAATTTTTTTATCGCTGTACATTTAAAAAAAATTGATTTTAAGCTGTGATTTTAAGATTGCAATCGTACCTTGTTCATGACATTGCTAGGCCATCCAAGGCCCAGGGGTAACAATACACAATTTTAAAGCAATGAACCAACTAAATACTTCTCAATGTGGACTCTATTCTTTTGACTATAACTATATATTATATTATGGTTATGACTAACATAAATGGTTAAATGGAATCGTTTATTTTGATCACCAAGACAAAGAATGTCTCAGGATAATCCGTCAGGAAGGCTAGGCATACACCGCCGCTGCACACTATCAAGAAGAGCTCATTTGCATATAACCTCGTTCTGTCTTACACAAAAGGTGCTTCTGTACACAGAATATAAAATTTTTGGTGACAAAGTGAATTAAATATTTTACAAAAATCCGTTTGTCTACAAAATAGCACTTTGTGGCTACAGATTAATTTTGCCTAAGAAAAAGCTATTTTGTCAACAAATAGCATTTTGATGACAAAATTGATTCTGTCTTACAAAAATACCATTTTGTCGACAAAATAGCATTTTTGGTGACAAAATAAATTTTGTCTTACAGTACAAAATCATCATTTTATAGTAATTTACTATTCAGAATACATTTTGTCGACAAACCAGAATTGTCCCAATAAAATGCTAAAATAGCATTCTGTCTCAACAAAATGGTATTTTGTCGACAAAACTGTCCTAGATGCCGCCCTGTAGATTTGGGCCACTCACATACATAAAAGAATTGAGTTGCTTACATATTCTTTTTTCCATGAATGGATAACCCCCAATAGGAAGAGGGTCCGGGGGTTTTCCCCCTCTTGAAACCGGTCAGGTATATTTTCTTATTCTTTAGTATTGTTTCAAGGCTTGCATGGCGAAGTAATAACATATTGTTGAAGCTTGCGGTACACCACTTAGGTAGTTCTGAAAAGAACTGTTGTATTTGAGAAAGTCTCGACGTTTCGATTGATTTGCTTCAATCGTCTTCTGGAGAATAATATCTGCAGAACCTCCAAACAGAGAAACATTCATGCTCATCATTCCTGAATATTGAATCCCAACACGATGGCGTGTATTTCAGAAATATTTATATGTTTGAATAGAGAGGCTGAATGGGTATTTGATGGATAAACTGACCAATGAGAAGACTGCTAGCTAGTGAAAGGCTAAAACAAAAGCCATTTGTCATGGAGACAAATGGGTGGGAACGCCCAAACAAAGGCATGGTTCCAGGGCGGAAAAGGGGGTGGGAACGACAAAAAACAAAGGCATAGTTCCAGAGTGGCGGGAAAGGGGGAATAACCATAAACCAAAGGCATAGTTCCAGAAGGAGGGAAATGGTGGGGCTGATTAGCTAGGTCCGATTAAACATAGACAGCCAAATACCGCTAATGACAAACCCGATATCTTGATGTGCAGTATTGTGTTTGTGGATTTCTCTGGTCCTTCTGGAGTGCCACGATGGTACAGTGGCTATTAGTTCAACTTTGCCCCAATGTACACGGTGTTGTTGACTATGGGAGTGCATGACTATAGACGATTTTTGTTGTTCCCCTCTCCTGACATGGCCTTGGTGTTCCTTGAGGCTACTACGGAGATCTCGTCCTGTTTCACCAATGTAAACATTCCCACATTCGCACGGGATCCGATAAACTCCTGGCTGACTCTGTGCTGGTGGCTTATCCTTCTGTGTGTGTAGAGTCCGGGATAGTTTTTTGGGTGCGCTTTGAAACACTTTGACATCAGCTTGTAGTTGAATGCGGTGTGAAAGTTCCCAAATGGTAAAAATACAGACTTCCTCGGTTTCGCATTATCTAGGCTATTGCTGGGTCTTGGTGTAGCAATGTCTCTCGTGTGATAACCATTAAGTTTAAGGGCTGCCTTAGCATGTTGCACTTCTTTCTGGATGGAGTTGTGGTCGCTGATGCAATGTCCTCTTCTGATGAGTGTGTTACAAACCCACATTCTTGGTGGACGGATGGTGAAACGAGTGTTTGTTTAGATATCTGTCGGTGTGTGTTGGTTTGCTACGGAAGCCCGTTAGTGCCACCAGTGAATTAAAATTTCAAATCCGTTAAGTGGCGGCCGCCACTTATTAGGCATTTTTCGTTTTGACTACGCGGCCAGTCTACTACGAACTAATAGAGCGTAACAGATATCTGCGCATGCTCACAAACCTTACTGGCTAAATCGGCGTTGTGACAGCTTCCGCGACTACCCCAATTTCTGAATTTGGCATAGTGGCGACTACCCTAATATTGACCAATCAGATCATTTATACACGTGCAATAAATGAGGAATGAATAGTCACAACATAAAATTAGGTAAATCAAGGGATCTAGTGAAAAAAGGGCCTTAGGCCTAGGCTAGTCTAGCCTTGGCCCTTGTCAGGGTGGATTTCGGGTAAGAGAAAACACATTATCTGGTGCCGCTAGCTAGTTCATCCGCCCTTGATATCGTGGATCAAGCCTTGCTGTATAAATACCTCTGATTAAAATTGTTATTTATTTATACATTATCGTTGGATTTGAAAAATTGCCTGAGCAGGCCTGACATCCCTCTTCTCCCGGTTAACGACTTTTTTAACGACTCTTTTGACACCTAGGCTAGGCTAGGCCTAGCCTAGGTAGATCCTAGCC